CCATGGTCACTTGTGGTATTTTATCCTGTTCCACTTTGTTGTGTTATTGAATTCAAACAATAGGCAACATTTAAGTTCAAAACATGTAGCCTTTCTTCCAGATGGAACTACTTTTATTCTCTGAACTTTTACTGATGTTTTTAAAAATGTGTTTTCTGGCTTTTGTCAGAGCCAGTTGTTGACACACAAAAAATTTCTATGCCTCACCATTTTAAAATTTGTTTTTATGGTTTACTTTTGCATTTTTGATGCAAGTCTAGAAAATCACTTTGTATTATGTATATACATATACATATCCACACACATATGTGTTCATAGAGAAAAAAGTGCTTATTACAGAAAACTTAGAACAGAAAGAGCACAAGAGAAATTAATCTCCCACAAAATTAAATATTTAGCTATCATTAACATTTAACGTGTGACCTTCCAAAGTTCTCTAATTTGTACATATATATTTTATTATCAAAATAATCTGGTATGTATAGGGTGGTACATTGATTTTCTTTCACTTAGCAATGTATTATAAACATTTTCCATGCTACTATTCTTCCACTGCCTGGTTTTAGGGAGCAACTTGATAGCCATATTCTAAATGTGCCATAATTTAACTACTCTGTTCTCTCACATTTTGTTAATTCCTGTGTTTTACTGATGAATTTTTATGTGACTTATGGCATATTGATATTGAAAAATCCCCAAAAGAAATATCTAATTCCTTGGCATTAATATCTGTGTAAAGAATCATTTGGACATTTTCATTCAAATTGTTAGAATTTTAGGATCTTTTGGAGGTACTAGAGGTTTGAACTTAGGGCCTCATACTTGCTAGGTAAGAATGCTACCACTTGAGCCATTCCTCTCATCCAAAACTTTAGAATCTTAACACAGGAGACCTTAGCAGTCACCTGGTATAGACTCTGATGTACCAAGTCTCTTCTGCAGCTTTCCTCACAGGTGAGCCAGCCTCTGCTACATACTCTATGAGTAGACAGCATTCACACACAGACCATAGTTTTCTGCTTCTCTTTGTATGTTCTGGCTTTATAGGCTCTTTTAATGAGATACAGGAATAGATTCTGACAAATGGATTTTGAAAAGTTGCTTCCGAAACCGTTAGAAGCACTGCATTTCAACCAACATTATTGAGAATCTGAGAAGAAAGATAGAGGTAGGATGCAGGCAAGATAATGCAGAATGCTGACTTGGCTCATAAAAGCATGTCACTAATATAGACAGGCAGAGCGTGTTCTCTGATTTGCAAGCTATAGTCATTCTAATTGATTTCTGCATACTTGTGGATAGGGAACTGCCCTCTTCCATTTATTTTTCTCTTGACAAGTAGGATGTGAAATGTTGTTCCATGCCTTTCTAATTTAAATGTTGCACATGTTGAGAACTGATCTTGCCAGCCATTTTAAGCTTGGCCAAAAACATAGCACATTGTTGTTATTAACCTTCATCATTTGGTTAGAGCCAACATTCTATTTGAAACTATAAAGGAGTATAAGTCTCCTTTATAGACAGAACCTTTTTTCTGCCATAAAGTAGATATAATGAGAAGGCAAAGCTGAGTTTCTTTGGTGAGTTGCTTTGATTGGTCTAATGAGGCTGATAAAATCAGGGATGCTCATTTTGAGAGTCATCTTGAGAAGTAAGATTTCAGCTTTATATACATAATATCTATAACACATACATATTACTTTGATTTACAAAGGTACTGTATGAGGTGCGGTAGGAGAAATGAAGATGACAGGCTTATGCTCTTGGGGACCTTATGATTCAGCTGAGAAAAAGACATGGATAATATAAGGTGGTATGTACAATACATTTATACACAAAGAGCAGAGAAAGCTTGGAGGAAAAACAAAGCATTCCTCACAGTCTACCTGTGGAGCTATGGACAATATCCTTGAAGCCACATGCATCAGTCCATTCAGCTGATAGGCTGCGTAAGCCATCTGTCTTCACATACATGGACTACTATTTTTAAAATGTATAGAGATACCCTGGTCATTAACAATGTTTTTGAATGAATTTTTGTCTTGTATTTATTGTAGCTTTTGTCATACTGTGAATTCTCAATCAGTAAATGCTACACTGATGACTCTTGTCATGGGCATCTGTAAAATTTTTTATATTAAAAATTGGTCCCAGTTATTTGAGGATTGGAAAGTATTGTCTACAGGAACACTAGGCAAAAGAACTTTCTGTGCTAGTAGAAATTTCCCTACATTGTCCAACACTAGTCATTGTCACAGGTAGCATTTAAGGACGAAATATGGCTAGTGGGATAGAAGAGCTGAAATTTTTATTTTGTTTGATTTTTTAACTTTATCTTATCTTCATTATCATATTATACTGGGAGTGCATTGAGACATTTATAAAAGTGCTTACAAGGTATCGTAATTAAATTCATCCCCCATCATTCTCTTTTATCTCCCCTTATCCTTCTTAGAATAGTGTCGTACATGAGTACATAACATTTCCACCAGATTCACCTCCTTCTTATTTAAGCAGCTACAGTAAAGGCCACATAGGACAGGGACAGCACAGATCTATGGATTTCCTTTGTCAGGAATTATCTTCCTCTCCACCAAGTTTTTCTGTCCTCCCTCATAGTTTGCATTCAACCCACAAATGGGATGACTACCAGGCCTACTTCTTCTCATTTGTCCCTGATTCTGAAGTTTATTCAGGCTAAGGGAAGATGCCTAGTGAACAATTTGAAGGTCTGTCCTAGTCATTTAAATAAAAGGAATGATAGTCATTTTTCTTTCAACCACTATCTGATTCTCAGGGGCCTTAAAGAGATTTTAAGTACCTGGGACACATAAACTAGTAGTTTTCATTCAGTTTATTTCAAAATTCATACAGCATGATCCTTATTTTAAAAGTTGTGTGATTAGACAGCTAGGAGTATGAGTCAGTGGCAGAGCACTTGCCTAGCATGCACAAGGCCCTGGGTTCAATCCCCAGCACCACAAACAAACAAACAAAGTCTCTCCTATGGGCAAAGTGGCTATGGATGATTATCAGAAAATCAGATCAAAATCTTATACTGGGGCTTGCATTGGGTAAGAAATTTTCCTTGTCATTGATTTTCCCAATAAAGGTAACCAAATGGTCTTCCTTCTCTCACTTACTCTAAAGCAATTAATACAATTCATAGCACTTCATAAGTTATACATCTTTCTCATGACTCATAGCCTTCAAGTTTTTTAAGACCATCACTGGAATTTTGTACCTCCTAATGGTGTCTATTAAGGTAACAGAATCGCAACAGCACAGACAAGTATCTCTGAGCATAAAATCCATCTTTTATGCATCTTTTATGTTGTGGTTGATATTCATTAAAATGTAGTACTAGTTGGGTTGCTAGGTAATTCTCTGTCTTCTTTCCAAAGATTTTTGTCCTGTAGTATTTTAAAACATAATGGAGGAAGAAATCAGTAGCTTGCAGATTCAAAAATCCCAATGACCAAAAAGTTCATTCATACCTCATGCTTGAGGAATTGCTATCAAAATAATAAATGCCTTTCATAGACCAGCCTGGAAAGAAGTCCTTGTATTGAGGTCTTTCTGTGCAGGAGGGCTCTCTGTCCCAGCTCTTGCCAAGTATGATGCATATGTCATTGTTCTCTTGCTGCTCTCTGGGTTTCTTTCTCCCACTTTCCCCCTCTTCTGGTTTGAGGCCAAAGGTTTGGAGGTTCCTTGTACTATCACACCCCGATTTTTAAAAAGTTTCCATTGCCAAGCTATAAAGCTCAAATGCATCCTTCCAGCTCCCTGTGGGCCATGTACCGTGCTACCCAGTGTGCCAACAGGAAAGGAGACTTAAAGGCAACTAGATAAATGTCCAATGAGTATAAATCCTCAGCTAGATGATAATGAAATGTTGATAGTTGTGTCATAATCTTTCACCCTTTACCTCTTTTATAAGTTTCCAATGACAAAAAGATTCCACAGATGATTATTTCTGACATTAATTTTTATTTTATTTTTTTGTGACACTAGGGTTGAAACTCAGGAATTCATGCTTGCTAGGCAGGCACTCTACCACTTGAGCCACCCCACCAGCCTCTGACATAAATTTTTTAAACATCTCTTATGGAACTTCCTTTGCTTGTGTTCATCTCATTCTAATGGTCTGCTAACCTCCATCTTAAAGGAACTTTGCTTGGATTGTTGTGATGGTTGGTGGTGGTGTGTGCACATGATGTACTAAGGATGGATCAGAGAAAGGAAATAATTAGGAATGGGATACCAGGAGAATATTCCAAACTTGTTTCCCTTTCTATTTTATAATAAATAAAAAGAATGAAAAGTGGAAATTTAGTTTTCTGTTAGCCCTCAGGAAGCTGCTCTTGTCCTATATCCTTAGCTTCTAATGAAGAGGTATAGATTGAGATCCCTCCAGCCTTTAGAAAAGGATCTAAAAGAACATTACAGTTTAGAGTCTGTACTGCTCCTCTCTCATGGGTCTTCCTGTGCACAGGCTTCATCCCTCCAACATCCAAACAGCTGTGGGTGGTTTTTTTGCACATGACGAAGTACTTCTCCTTGATAGATTTGTGTAGAAAAAAAAAATAATGGGCAGTACTAGTCAAATCTCTCTAGTGTATTGGTTTAACCACATATCCTCTTGACCTTCATGTGTCCATTTTATATTTTATATTTCATCTGGTTACAAAATTATACCAAATTATTATGTCTTCTACATTTTCCTTTATGCTGTTTGAGTCAATATTTACTTCTTTGATTAGAGTATCTAAGCTTGTAAGTCTGTGATCGTCACTGAAGGGAACTAATATAAGATTAATCATCTGTCAGCAACTTGAAATTGCTGGATGTTTTAGTAATTGCCTTCAAATGTAGTAAAAAGATTGCAGGTTTGATGAAATGCTTATAAATGGTGGCTTTAGAAAAAATCAACTTATTTCAATATTGAATTCCAAATTACTGTGTATTAACACATCTGTCTCCTGACTTTTTAATTTCAGTACCTACTAGAAATGAAAAGCTTAATCCTACCCCCAGAACATATCCTGAAGAGAGGAGACAGTGAAGCAATAGCATATGCATTCTTTCATCTTGCACACTGGAAGCGGTAGAAGGGGCTTTGAATCTTTTGCATTGTACATGGGAAGGCAGTAAGTAATTTTCTTTATACAATTTTTAAGAACGTCAAAATGTGCTAAAACTGATTTTTTCCTGAGTGTTCATGATGATCAGTGAAGATCTATGTGGGTCTAGCCCTTGTTTCCTATGACTGCTGTGGGTATTACTGTGATGATGTCACTTTGAGCTTGAAAGGCACATTTGTCCAAGAGAGGCAGTGAATCTGGACTGCTCTAGAGGACCACTCTCCCACCCTGAAAACGCTCTTTGGAGACCTCTGTGGCCCTGGCATTATAGTAATCTTTGGCATGGGACTGGGACTTCTACTAGATTCTAATTACCACCTTTTTTGTTTTTTTGAAACTCAGGGACTTATGCTTGCCAGGCAGGCACTCAGTAATCTTGATCCACACCCCCAACCCAGATTACCACTTCTTGATGGCCTTTGTGGGAGAGGTGGCTAAGAGCCAGTTATCCTGCACTAGATCAAGGTTAGCCATCTCCAAAGACATGGCATATATGTTTCAAAATGAGCAGTGGCCCCTGGCCCCTACCATTTCGTGGGAGATACAGCATTGTTGTGAATGATAAATGCCTGTTGTGTGGATGTAGGGATAAATAAATCTGTGAGTACATGCTCTCTATAGGTACTATCATTCTGTGTAAGTAGAGGATGCTTCTCCCTCACCTGGAGAAGAGTGTTATCTAGTTGGGAAGAGAAACCAGCAGCATGTAGCAGCTGCCTGCTGATTTTCAGAAGTGAGAGGTCCACGAGATAGAGTAGCTTGTGGTCCATGGGTAGCTTGTGACTCAGCTGAGATTTGAACATGCCTTGAAGGACAGTAATACAATCAAGGACACTGAAGAAATGGCAAGTCGTCAAGCCATTTAGAAGAATTTAAACTAAAGGGAAAACCCCAAGATAATGATTATTACAATATGTGCATTGAAACTCTGCTAATATTAACTTAAGCAAAACAAGCAACAATGCATAGTATGGTTTTCCCCATGAGAAGAAAAAAAATAACTATTAGAGTTTGATAATTTTTTCCTAGTTTGCCCCTACTCTGATTGGCCTCATAAACAAGTGTCTTTTTAATATTATTTTTTACTCTGTTTATCTTTTCTGCTTCCATTTTCATTTTGATAAGCTTCAGCTCCTTCCTGTTCCTGCCCTTCTGTAACCCTGTAAGAATCCAGCTTAGTGCAGGAAGGGACATAGGGGGGAGTAAATAGGATGGGGTAAAAATAAGTTGACAGAGATGAGACTCAAACCAAAATTTTTTTGGGTGGTTGAGAAATTTTTCTTTAAACAATTAATAAGAGGTTTATTTACAAAGGATGTTGATATAATAGTAAGTAGAATAACATACCCAGCTGTCCTGGTCAGCACCAGCAACTGTATTGGATATGTGAAGAAAGTACATCCCACTGAGAGAGTGTGGGTTTAGGCACAATCCCCTCTGGCTTGGATTCATTGTTGCACGTAAAAATATAAGGCGAACTGAAGGGACAAAAGAAAAAGTCCAAAAAGCCCGTCAGGAATGAACATGGGAAGCCTCATCTAGTGTTAGTTATGAAAAATTAAATGGATGTATGGGCTTACCACATAACAATATATTTATGGATTGGCATCTGGGAAACAGTAGTAGAAACTTTCCAATTGGATCTGAGTGATAAGGTCCAACTCCATAAAAAGGACCCAAAAACAGGTGAGGCAAGAGATGATTAAGACATGGTGTTAGGAACAGTATCACCATACAGAATTTAAATCCTGTGAAGAATAAGTAGGAATTGTTTGGAAATTAGTTATCAGCTAACAAGGGGAAGATGCTCTAGATCAGCTGGTAAGGATAGTGAAACTGAGAGAAAAATGAAGTGATCTAGGGAGGTGCAAAATCAAGGAGAGTAGTGGTATTGAGGGATTTAATTACCTCAAATTACACTGGCAGAATCCTTCATTAGGATAAAAATTAATAAAAATTAATTACATTGGCAGATGCTTTATTGGGATAAAAAGAGGAGATAAATTTTTAGACATAAAACAGCATGGCAAGGAAATCAGATACCTATAAGAAAAGGAAATTTGGCATTTTATCCTTATAGATAAACAGCTCCCATGAAAAGCAGGTAGCTGTGATTCCAGCGCAAATCAATCGCACTGATTCTCAGTTTCCAAGGAGCACCATGACATTCAATTTTAGAAGAGAACTGTGAGAGTGCTTACTCTGTACTAAACACTTGAGAATGCCAGGAACCTTGAAGAGTGTTTGTGTAAGTATATAATGTAAATTACCTGGAGGGTTCAGTTTTACATCTCTTCACTTACTCTTCCTCATAATATTCTGAACTAGGCAGGAAAGAAATGGGCACCTCATTTTTTCAGTGAAGAAATGAGATGAGTGGCTTGTGGAAAGTCTTACAGCCACTGTTGAAAGGGCCAGGTGGTACACCCACATTCACTTTTCCTTCACTGCACTGAACAGATTAAGGGTAGAGAGACATCATTGAACCATTTTCTCAGAAGCCCAGAATTTAAATTTTTATCACTACTTAGAAGCTGGGTGAAACTTGTTACAACTGGTCCCTTTTTGTTGTTTAGAAAGTTAACCGTTACAGGTGCTGATACACAGCTATAATCCCAGCTACTCAGGAAGTAGAAGCAGAAGGATCTTGAGTTCAAGGTCAGTGTAACCCCAAAACAAAATGAAAACAAAAGGGCTGGAGGCATAGTTCAAATGATAGAGAACTTACTTAGCAAGTGCTAGGCCCCTGATTTTAATCCCCATCCTGAAGAAAAAAAAAGAAATCCATTCTGTATAAAATTGTACTTTATTGTTTAATATTGACTTAGACATTTCAATTAGAATGAGACAATTTTTACAAAATAAATAATATGTGTGTATTATAAACAAAGAGACTGAAAATAAATATGACTAACTGATTTAAATGATCACTACTGAGTTGTGGTCATGATTTCCTTTTTTACTCTTTCTATTTGTACTTTTCAAATTTCCTACATAAAGCAACTGGGTTTTTGGTTTGTTTTTTGTTGTTTTGTTTTTGTTTTTTTGTAGTATTGTGGGTTGAATTAGGGGCCTCACACTTACTTGCTAGGCAGGTGCTCTACCACCTGAGCCACAAGCCTAGGCCCCCAGCCTTTTTTGCTTTGTTACTTTTTGGGTAGAGCTTCATGTTTTTTACTCAGAGTGAGTCTCAGACCACAATCTTATACTTTGCCTCCAGCATAGCTGAGACCACAGGTGTGTGCCACCTTTCCCTGCTTATTTGTTGAGACAGAGTCTCACTAGCTTTTGGCCCAGACTGGCCTCAAATGATGCTTCTCAACTCTGCCTCCCAAATACCTGGGATTAAAGGCATGAGGCATATTATTTTCAACAAGCATAAATATGTATATGCATGTATGAGGCATATATATATAGATAGATAGATAGATAGATAGATACATATATTTAGAAAAAATAATTTTTCAATTGGAAGTCATTTTAGTCCTCTCTATAAACAAAGCTATAGATCTGCAATGCAGTTTAGAAGAATTACCACTGCAATTCCATACAATTGTCTGCAATCTCTTAACATCATTTCTAGATATGTATCCATTCTAAATTAAATTAAAAAGAGGTTGACAGCTTTGTATTTTTAAATGAGAGGACTTGAATTAGAATTTTACTCAGCTACTTATGGTAAGTTTTTGAAACTGGAAAGTACTGATAATCTTGAATACCATATCCTTCCTTCCCTAGATTAGTGGCTTCCAGGATATTATAACTGGTCTCTTTCCCTCTCTTCCTCTCTCCCTCTCTCCCTCTCCCTCTCTCATTCCCCCTTTCTCCCTCCTTCCTCCCTAGGCCTAACCTGGGCCCAAGTAGAAGAGGCTGCACTTCCCCCAATGCACCACATGGTGGTGCCTTTTGACATCTCCAGCCTCATAGTTTTTTCTTTTTGAAATTTAAGGTCTTTCCCCAAATCCCACCCAAGTTCCTTTTTTCATTAGAGAATTCATGGAGGAAGGTAATAGTACTTAGTTTCACTAGGCTCCATGTCAAAACTGATTATAGGTTATTGTTTGGAGATTTTTTTAAAAAGTCTTATTTCTATCAAAGTATTGGTTAGGAAGTAGAGGTAATTTTGTTTCCCATTTGTTTGTTTGTTTTAATGAATTTATTATGTTATAGCACTAGTCATCCTGTGAAATTAAGTGAGTTTTCTATCAATCAAGCTGAAAAAAACTCCCACTTTTTGTAAGACTCCAAAGTCCAGCTAATGCATAGCAGAGATTGTTTGGGTTGAAACATATGGTACTTAAAGGGAAAAAAAACCCTGAATCCTCAACCACAAATACATCAGCATTTCAAAGGTTTCCCAAATGTTTGATTCATCACTGTCCTAACCCCAGAAATTATACAATATGTTCCTCAAAGTCAAGATAATTAAGAAAGGGGAAAAGTTTTAATTTATAAGACTTTATAATATGTTTCTTGGATTATTGCACATATGCCACTTTATCTGAATTATACTTATTTTAAATACTGTAGGCTCTGGTTATCCTCATACATAACACCACTGCGAGTTTGAGTTGAATGTAGAAAACATATATGAGTGAAAGGTCTCATTTCAACTGAGTCTTATTTACAATAGTATTACACTTTATGGGGCCCTGTTTTAAATGGCACATCTTTTGTATTACCTATATTAAATACTGATGTGCCCTTACCTCCTTCCTACCTTGATCTTTTCAAGGCTGTATTTCGGCTCTGTTTATTTTAAAAATCAGGGTTTCTGGTGACTGCAACTGTGAACTTTAATTTTCTAGTTCTATATATTAGAAGACTAGTGTGCCATGGGGTAAATCACTTAGCCTTTCTTTGTTTCTGTTTTTTCCACCTGACCAAGTAAGACTCTTTATTTTCTTTTTAGAGAGTTTCCCCACAAAGGATCCACTAAATAATGTATAAGATTTGAAGGTGGTGTTTTTTAGGGGGACTAAAGCAGACTATTTCCTTTGAGGGGAAAATGGCCCATTGTTAAAGCATAGGGTGAGATTGTGATTCTAATTTATTCTCTTTGAACCTTATGGCAAATGCCCCTTGCTGTAAGATGTGGTTCTCAGAGCATTTCCTCTAAGCAACCTTTCCCCCATAAGGCTGGTACCTTTTGGATACTGAAGAAAGAACCCACTCTTCCCTCCCCCAAACAGATCCAAGACTATATTTTATAATTTTGGAGAAAGCAGTGATCAAAGTCCCTAGTCATACCTAACCTACCATCATAGCTGGTCTCAAGTAAAACCACCTTGATCCTGACTTTATTTAGTCTTGGTAATTGACCATAATTTGGACACACCTAAGGTTTTCTACATTTGTTTTTGTTTTTCTTAAGATGGGGTATCTATGTTTCCCTAAGCTGGCCCCATACTTCAGGCTTAAGCTATCCTGCTTGGGACTATAGGCAGCTGCGTGCCACTGCACCTGACTTCATCTGGGTTTTTAAAGGGAAAATTCTGTGTCTTCCTTATTGCACATTAATCTGTTCATTCCTTTATTTAACAAACCTTTATTGAGTCTCTTCTTTGTGCCAGGTGTTGGGTTTGGAGACCCCAAGATGGAAAAGACTGAAAAACTTTGTGAGAAACATTTGTATGTGTGTGGGTATACACATGCATACATCCAAATGCATGTATATATGTGTGTAATATGTTGTATGTATAGATAGTGTGGATGTAAGCAGTACTGTCATGACAATAGCAGCAGAGCGTTAAAGTGTTGAGGGTCACTAATAAAGTTAATAAGTCCACTGTAAACCCTAGAGTTTCGTCTTCAAAATTAGAAGCATTATTAAATCCACTTAGGGCAAAATGATTTTCCCAAGGCCACTTTATTTCACTTGTAAATGCTGAAACCAAGCTTTTGACTCTTAGTTAAATGTCTCATGAAAGACAGTTGACTTTCATGGCTGTCACTTACATTGCAGTCAGACACAGAATATAAAATTTGCATTTTGATGGCAATTTTCTGTTCTACCATTTGCACTTCTACTTGTTAACAAACAAACAGGACTTTTACTTACGAACTAGGGGAGTGTGACTTGATAGAGAAAGTGAGAACTTTCGGTTTGGCGGAAAGGAAAAAAAGCTAACCTTTACAGAGCAGCCAGGCACTCTGAGTGAGCTCCATCATGCCTTGGCTTGCCTTGTATCCTTGTCACTTAAGGAGTTACTCATGTTGTGACAAGTGACTAATTGTAAGAGGTAGAGCTGGGATTCACACTGTTTGCTCTAGCACAAGTAATTTGTATGAAGTTCTCTGGGATCTTGTTTGAAAAGGCAACACAGACAAAATATCAAAAGTTACCTTCTATTCCAGCCTATGTAACGGGGAGGGTGTGTGGTCATTACTTTTTTCCTGTATCTATCCTTACATCCATTCTTTGGTTCTGTTGATTCTCCCACCAGTGCTGGTGGATAGCCTCTGATGGGGATAGTACTGAGGGGCTTGGAGCTTAGGAAGTCTGTCTGTAGGGATGGAAAAGACAGGGTCATACCTCAGACTTGAGAGTGCCTCAGGTAGTGAGAGTGCAGTGTGTCCATTAACTAAATGAGCTAAATCTCAGTTTTATTTTGACCCTTTAACAAGGGCACAACTGAAATCAAAGACATATAAAGGAGAAAGTAGAAATGTCATTTGTTTACTCTATACTAACTGAGTAGCATAGGTTTTTCGCTTTGTTTTTAACTAAATACACCTATATTTTTAATTTCTCTGAAATGTTTGTTTTCGCAAAGATTTTTAAGTCTATATTCATTTATAAAAGAGATATATTCAAATGACCTTTTTCCATTCTTCATTGAACTACCAAATTCATGTGTTCTTAATATTTATACCTGCAAATTCTCTGGACATTGGGCTAAAACCACAAGGCACTCATGAAGCCATGGCCTGTCTCTACATTGAAGGGGACCAGGAGGTGGGAGATGAAGCTGGCACTGCACACGCAATGCCCCATCCTGCTCTCTCCAGACCTTCTTTTCTTATTGCATACTTTGTTGGACTCTTAACAGAAGGGCATTGTATTTGCTTTTACTTAATGAAGCCAAAAGCCTTGATAGTACTTTTTATGAACTCAGTGTACATGACAACTGACATGATGAGAAAGAAAGACCTAAAGAGTGCCATAAATATCTTCAGAATCACAGGGGTGGGAGGGCAAAGCAGGAAGAGTGTATGTGTGTTTGTAAGTGTATGTGCTTTTTAAAATTGTGTATAATCAATATCTCTACCATCTCCAAGAGACAAGGGATCAATTAAGTGAAGAAACAAACCAAATTGTTGCACAAAATCCTGTATGCATACCAAATAGGGTAGAAAAAAACTTAGCATCTGACTGAAAAGGCATCACCAACCAACCATTAGATTTCAATAGCTGAGCACTCTCAAGATCTTGCATTCCTATATTTCACTTAAAAAAAATTGTTCCCTGAAGTGCAAACTGACCAATTTTGAATAAAACTTAGCATTTAAATTTATAGCAACTTTGAAAACCAGGATTTATTTATATCATATGAACCTGAACAGATTCTTTAATTATAGCGCCTGGTTATACATGAAGAATCTGGATTTAAAACAACACAAAAACTTCTGCATAGGTTTTTCCACATTTTTTGGATGCTTTCAGAGAAGCCGTCATTTATGAAAAATGGTAATAAAATCCTGTCATACTATAGTTTAAATGTAAAATCAGTGCTTCCCAGAAGAGATTTCTAGTGTATGCTATAAATTGCTAAAATTTTTTGTTTTGTTTTGTTTTCCCGTTAGATTTTTGTTTATCATTCTCTTGAAAGTTTGGTTTTCTTGACGAACGATGTTGGTTCCTTCAATATCTTTGCACATTAACAACCTTAGAAGGAACTCCTCTTTTGCTTGTGCTAATGGACAAACGTTATATTTGTTTGTGTGAAAGAAAAGGTCTAATTGAGCTAGAGGAGCCCTTCATTTTAAGAAGAGTTAAAGTCTGGGGTATTTTTAATGTTTTAATCTCTGTTTAAGAGGTTTCTGTTACAAGAGGAAAATTGATAACATTTTTACCTCAGCAAACTGCCAGCAAACTGGCTCTGCTCTAATCCCACATTTATAGTGATTTATATTCTCCGTGACCATGTGCTCTAACCTCAGAGTGATACCACTGTGGTGTAGATTGACTGCATTCCAAATGCTGGAATCACATACATAATGTTTTTACTTTTAAATAATATTCAGACACCAGAATAAATACCATATGTGCACTGATGCTGGTTACAATGGGACCTTGTCATTCCTTGTGAGGGAGAACATTCTTTGTTTCTGATTCCTGTTTGAAATAAGTATGCAAAAGATAAATATGTACATTGACAGCATTTTGAGAAGGCTATGGTAATTACACAGCTGAGGATGTAGCTATGATTCCTTAAAGCATAGCGTTTAAAACTAAAAATGTTGGTGCGTATTGCCACCTTCCCTCATCGATGACACACATGCAGGCAGGGATTGCTGTCTCATTCCCAGCATTGGGTATTGCCTTTATGTTGTACATCAACAGTGTGTTGCAGGTAGAGGACATCTGTTTAGGAAAAATTACCTCTGTGAGCACTGTTCATAGGAACAGTGAGACTAACATGCTGATGTCATTGTAACAAGGAGAATGACACAATGGATGACAGGGAAGAGTGGATTGACTGAAAAACCATAATTCAGTGAGGCCTGATGTCATCTGATGCCACAAAGGCAGAGTTTAGGTGGCCTGACATCATCAAAAGACAGTCACTCGCTTCAGGTCCATTTTCGTCACATGATATAAAGATACAAAAGTGTCATAAAGTTTAGAAATATTTCTCAAGTCATGAGTTTTTAGATTATTGTTTTACCCATCCTATTTGGAATTCTAATCCACTTATCCATATTTTTTAAATAGATATGGTAGAATACTTTTCATATTTTTACATCTGTAACAGGCTCCAAAAAATCCACTTTGCCTTCTTGGAGAGGCATTTCAACCAGCTTTGCATTATTAGCCATTGGCTGAGCTATATTAAGTTAGAGCTTATAACATTTTAATAATATTTTATAGATGATGAGACCCTAAGCACTGATATTGATGATTTTCCTACCCATCTGCACCTCTATCCCCACCCAGTTCATGAGGTTTGCCCAGAGTATATGGTGTGAGATTAATGTGTGAGTAATATCATAATGTATCTTTGACATTTTATCTGCACATGACTCAGAGTTTGGGTAAGTCTTGCCTCCCTTATAGGAATGTTCTCCTTATAGGAGTGTTCAGAAGTCCCTTTTTGAAGTTGGGAAGTTATGAGACAAACATTAATACTCTAACATATTGTCTCTCCTTTTCAGCTTTTCGAATGATCCCCTATCCCTTGGAAAAGGGGCACCTGTTTTATCCGTACCCAATCTGTACAGAAACAGCAGACCGAGAGCTGCTTCCCTGTAAGTCTCACTTCTCTATAGTCCTCTCTTCAACCAGGGAAGGTGGGATGGGAAGAGGTAGGAATGATAAATGTTTATGATGTTCTTTGTGTTTTATTACTTTTCTCCCACCTCTCGCCTGGTTTGATAGCAAATGTATTCAAAGTGAATTATATGAGTGGGTTGGGCTTCCTGTTCTTCCAAGTCTCTCCACATTCATCAAAAGGAAAGATACCAAAGGCCTGACATTTAGAAGAGGCATCATGTACAGATTGGCCTGAGCATGGAGAGCCCTAGTGTAGGCAGGTACTCAGAGGGCTGGCCTATTGTGGAGGCTTCTGCCTGAACTCTGCAGCAGGTCAGCTGTGGGTCTGCACAGGCTGGAGTGGAAGAGGAAGTGCTGACTTCAGAGGGAGATGCACATGAGTCATGGGTGGGAGGGCAGCACCAGGATGCTGGTATCACTGCCAGAGGAGGCGTTGTAGGGCAGGGTGGTGTACTGTCCCTGGTGATGCAATGCTTTTGGCCACAGGGTTTCCCGTGAGCTTCTTGTGTGTTGCATTGTGAGTTGGCTGACATGTGCAGAGCACACGTGCAGCCTCAGCACTGTGTAACAGTGCTCAGAAGGAAAACCCTGCCCTCGAGTGCCTTACAAGCCTAATGGCATACCACATGTGGAAAGCATTATTTTGGTTTACTGTAATACAACATTGTTTTGACAATTCAGGCTAAATAGTTATTATCAAATCATACTGTGTACAAAGATCATGTCCCAGCTCTTCATGTGGCCCTAACTTAGGACATATTTTTCTCCCTCAGATAACTCAAATTTGAGCTCTTCTTTCTTCCCTGTCCACTCTTCTGCCACCCTCTTCCTTTTACCAGCCCCAATTATATCAATAGCTCATGGCTATAACACCTATAAATATTTTCCCCCAAGGACTAGTATAACTTTGAAGTTTTGGGTGCAGAGTAAATTTTTCAAATGCCAGCATTACTGAGCCAGTCACATGGTGGGACCTGGGTGCAAAGCTGAATTGCTATCATTAGATTGAGGCAGCCAGAGGTACCTCTCTTGTTTCCTTGGTAGCCAGCCCCAGCATGAGGGAGGTCTGTGATGTGTTCCTCATTGTCCAAGTTTTATTGTGAAGAGAGTCTGGTGCCTCACGTGACATTAGATTGGATTTCAGAAATCCTGGTGCGGGCTCATAGTTTACCTTTTGACTCCCTCTTTTGGGGGAGTTAAAGTGTTACCCTTGTTAAAGTTTCAGTTTTCTGGTAAGAAAGTCAGTTCTCTGAAAAGTACAGTGTTTTTAAATGTTTTAATTGAATCCAATTAAGTTTCCATGGGGATAGATTTGCTATTAGAACAGGATTACAATTCTTAAAAGAAACTTTATTGGGATAATCTTCATAAACCTGAAATAGAAAATTATGGCTCATATTTATGTAATTGAATGCCAGGATCCAAGTCTGATCTCCCTCCAAAATCTTTTGGGGTTGGGTTTAGAGGGTTGGTTGTTGTAAGTTCTACCCATATCTTGCACATACAAAGTATAATTAATGCTTCATTAGGCCCCACGTTCTCCTCCACCCTGGGTTTGAATCCTGCAGGCTGACTTACCAGATGCAGGTAGGTCTGTCTTCCTGGGCTTGTGCCTCCCAATCCTCTGTGTTCTCTGTTTTTAGCAGTGTGGGTTAGGGCTCTGAGTAACAAGAGCTTTATGGTCAAGGGACGCCCTTTACATCTCATATTTGATGGGAATGGACCACAGAACCTTTGGGTTCAAGTGACAATATTGCTAACCTGTAGTTTCGCAGCCCCTCTACCAGGGTCCTGGACAGTTGGTTTCCTCCTCTGTGCAGGCAGCTCTCACCTCCCCTGCTGGTGCCTCCATCACCCCAGACAGTCATAGGCAGCTATATAATAAGCAGAAAGTAAGCATCAATTTTTTTGTCTTTTTACCACAGCTTTTTAGTTTTTCTCGATATTTGAAGTTCTAAAGTTATGAGAGACACTCTAAAGAGAACCAGTGCTGCTTTTTTCCCCTCAGTGATTGTTGGGAGGTTTTATCGTCAAGAGTGTCCTATAGTTGTGCCAGATAACCCCAACAACCTTGACCCTCACCCTGGCAGACTGAGTGACCCTCCTTGGGAGGTCCTTGCTGAATGTCTTTCTATCAGGATAGCACCCTCCTCTGACATCCTTAGAGTGTGCCAGGAAAAAGTACAAGATAAACTAATATTGTCTCATTATAATGATTTTTAAATCATTATACAAGGAGGTAAAAATGTAGAGAGAATTTTTTTCAGTGTACTTGGTTTTGGATTTTCCAGGTTTTATACAATGAACATAGGTGTAGTAATTTGAATAAAGTGTTCTTGTTTTGTTTGTGTTCACTTTTTTGAGAAAGGAATACCATATATTAGACAGAGATTGTGGTAAGATTCCTGCCCACAAATGTGTGACATACCCACGTGAGCCATATTGTGCCTCCAGCTATACCACAGAAGGTTGGATATAGACTTAGGAGAAGCAATAGGCAGCCAAAGGTGGGGTGAGATGTGGGCTATGGTTTGTCAAGTACCATTTCATTTCCAACAGAATTTAGCTAAAGCTCTAAGGAACCAGTCCCACCATGTAGAAATTCCCCCTAGGGATGCATTTCACTCCAGCCCTAACATTTTCCTCTTGATCTTCTGCAGCTTTCCATGAAGTCTCAGTTTACCCAAAAAAGGAGCTCCCCTTTTTTATCCTCTTTACTGCTGGACTGTGTTCCTTCACAGCTATGCTGGCCCTCCTGACACATCAGTTCCCGGAACTTATGGGGGTCTTCGCAAAAGCCGTGAGTGTTTGCCAAAAGGGAGGCCTTGGAGAGTGGGCAGGGAAAACTAAGAGAAGCAGCATAAAGGGAACTAGAAGGGGAGGTGGGGAGAATTGTCATACAGAAATGGTTACAAGACTGCAGAGATTATTTGCTCACTGTTTAATTTTCATTATCATCAGTGGAATCAAAGTGTTAAGGGTCAAATGAGAAAGTACAGGTTGTTAATGCATGCCTTGCCTTATTTCCCAAAACAAATACTCAGCAGTTTCCAAAAAGTACATGAAGTCCAAAAGGATGAAATAATTTGGGGAATCCTAGCAAATGAGAAAAGGGTGGGAAATGATTCAGTTTTGTATATATCAAATGACATTATTTCTAACCTTCATATATTGTGGGTCTTCCCTTCATAAATAGTGAGATTTATATCTCCAATGATTACTTAACTAATTTTTAAATTATTATTAATAATTACAGACCCTAGGCTTGTTTGGGGAATGAACTGTGAGAGAGTTTGAAAGCTTGTAGTATTATTAGGGGGTGTCCTGACTTGGCATTTAGAAATAGGAAAATCCATGGAGGGCTTTAGGGGAAAGTGGTAGAGAGGGGCTCTAATAAGAAAGGCCATTTGCACTGATGGCTGAAGACCAATGTTTCCCTGCTTCAAACTGACCATTTCTACATGCTCAAGCAGTGAGGGCGAGGTTCCTGATGTTGGCACAGCTGGGTGTCAAGCAGAAGCAATAGAGAAAACAGCATCAGTTATTTTCCTAGCAGTCCATTCAGATTTCAAGGCAAATGGAATCAGCAAGCACAATTTCTAACTTGGCTGGGTTGATTTAATGCCTTTCCAGATGATTGACATTTTCTGCTTAGCAGAGTTCAGGGACTGGAATTGCAAGAGTATTTTCATGCGTGTTGAAGATGAACTGGAAATCCCACCGGCACCTCAATCTCAACATTTCCCAAACTGAACTCATCACCCTTCTTCCCCTACCACCTCCACTGCTCCTCCCCCTGTACTCCTGATGGCCCTGCCATCCCCCCAGTTACTAGGCCACAAACTGGGCAATCCTCCAAGCCTTCTCCCTCCTCTCACTCCCTATTCAGCCTTCACTCTCTGTGGTCCTATCCGCCTAGCTCCCAGGAACTTGGTAATCCCGATTCACTTTCCTCCATTCCTTCTCTCCTGACAGCATCTCTTAGTTTAGGTCTGTATTATTTCTTGCCTGGATTCCTGCAATTGTCTTAACTGGTCTCCTTGCTTTCAGTCTTGCTCTTTGCCAGTCTTTCTTTCATACTGACACAAGAGTGATCTTTACAAATTGCAATCTAAGCATGTCACTATCCTGCTTGAAATTCTCCAGTGGTTTCCCACCTATTTCAGGAGAGCCTTTTATTGTCTCCCTTGCTTACTTCATTGGCCTCATCTCTCCCAACTTCTGCACTGACCCTGCTTTTCAGTCATAGTGAATTACTTAGCATGCCCAGGTGTACCAGGCTTTTGCACACCTCAGTGCCTTTGCAAGTGCTATTTTCACTGCATGGAATGACCTTCACCATCCCACTTGTCCACTTTAATAAATGCCTGGTCATTCTTTAATACTCAGCTTTCTATAAGTTTCCTCTGAACTTAGTGAGGTGTCTCTCTCCATGATCCCATAAAGTTCCATGAACTCTACACCATCTCATTTATTGTTCTAGATAATAATTGGAAAATTCTCTTCCCCCCTTTAGAATGTGCGCTCCTTGAGAGCAGGACTGTCTTCCTCATCTCTGTATCCCCAAAGCTTTGCCCAGTATTGCACATAGTGGGTTTTCAATAAATGATTATTAAATGAATAAATGGTAGTGGTCTCTGAAGAAGGAATCAGTGTAAAATTCAGATACTTCTTAGCATTTCTTCCATTCTTTTATACTTACAATCATAGAGTTGAAAGGGAACTTTTGTCTCAACAATAACTCTGAACAGAGGTCAGCTAGATTCATTCAAACACTGTTGATCATGGAGAGCTTACCATTTCATCATTAGGCATTCATAGCTTCTTATTCCTATTCTGTCCTCTGGGAATACACCAAACAGGCCTACTCCTTCTTGTAAGTTCTTAGGACAGCTTTCTATTTATGGCTGCCTTCAAGCTCTGACTACCTTCTCTTTCCTGCAGGTAGAACATCTTAAATTTTCTTTACATGATGTGTTTTCTAAACTTGGCATTAATTAGGCTAATACCTTGGACGTTCCTTAGTTTATGGACCTACACTATTCATTGTTTTCTTCTCCATAGCCAACCTCTGAGGAAAAGTAGTTGCTAAAACTCTGAGATTAGAGTGTAACTTATTAAAATGTAAAATCAGAATATAGTTACAGCACTAGACAATTACTGTTCCTCCTTCCATGTTTCTTCCTTAAAAATTTTAAAAACATATTTGGAAACGCATCTCATTGGTCCAGTGTTCATCATTATTCTAACTAATAGCACTTGATGGTAGTTTGGGATCAACAGAGATTTTCAGCCTCTAGCATGCTTAAAATTCATCTGGCCACATCACCACAATTCAGAATCTTGATGCTAATACCCAGAAGTCTGTATTCTTAACAAAAACCCCACCAGCTTCTGAGGACAGGGAATGGGGACCATATTTCCATCCAAGGACTCTGGTCTCATAAAAGCCAAACCTTCGAGCCAGCCATTTGAAGCTGCATTGTGGGATGTCAGTGCTATCTATTCAAGCAAAAGCTTCCCAGGAATCTAATGGTTTCAGCCTGGCTGTACATGGAATCATCAATGAAGGTTAAAAATTACTGATGCCTGTCTCACCCTGTCTCTCAGGAACTCATGCCTAATTGACCAGGCACAGCTTGGGCATATGAGTTGTCAGATGTTTTCTGGTGACTCAAATGTGCAGCCCAGGCTGAGAATTCATAGTACTGCATGAGGACTAATTGCTTGTGCCAGTTTAACCAGTCAGGGGTTGGGAAGGAATAACTGGATGCTCTCTAGAAAGGTTGTACAGCTACCCCCCTCCAACCTCCCTTAATTTTGGGAGCTGCACTCATCCCTCTCCTTTGAGTTTCCAAAGCTTTGGTCTTGAGTCTAGGATCAAGTGATTGAATAAAATAGAAATTCCGCTTTTAGGGTCCTCGTGTTTTGTACTCCACCAAGATGTGATAGTTTCGTCAGCTACCCATGATTTTCAAATGTAGTTTTGGTAAGTTTGCTTTTAAACCTCTGTCTGGATGATCCTATCCATCTTGCGCTTCATTAAAGTCTAGCAGTTTCTAAAATGTCTGGAGAGGATTGTTGGGGAAAGAAGATGGATGGCCTGAACGAGACAAGCCCCATCTCCCCCACCCCCAGAGTCTTCTCTACATCTTCACCCTTGTTTTACTCCATGAGACCTCTCCCGAAGCCTCTCCACACCCCAGAGGTTATCACAGCTGCCCTATATGCTGCCTGCAACCATTTGCAGCTTGTGAAAGTGATTTTCTCAGGCCTCTTCTGAGATAATGTCCCTGTTATAGTGACTATAAGTAGATGCAGAGGGATCGCACTGCCATCCCCCAGAATGTGCATCGTGGGAACTCCATTGTGTTTACACACTGACCGCAGCCAGTAAGGAAGCCAAGGCCGAGTGTAGGCCACTGGGAAATAGTGAGAAGAGGCTTCAGCTGCCTTGCCCCTAATCTAATCTACCTCAATGACTTAGGACTAACTCTTCCTAGAATGTTTGGTTCCCAAGATAAGGTTGCTCATATAAATAAGTCATCAATGCAGGCCCAGCTCCTTGCAGAATGTGTGAAGGTCAGCATTTTGACCCTTTCTGCTCTCAAGGGCCTGTCTTTCCTCCTCTGAGATTGAAACCCCTGACTTCTGACTCATCTTCACTTATAGGCCCCGACCTCTTTGAAGTCTGATATTGATTACAGTGAGATGTCAATTGTCTGCTTGCGACAGGGCACCTGGAACTTATTCAGATAAGCAGAGGCATTTCTACTGTTAACAGGGCTTGTTGGGAGCCGTGACCTTCTTCTAAGTAATGGTGTTTCAGGAAAAAGAGGATCAGGCGATTGAAGTGTCACTCTCTCTTTTTTGTTAGTTCAGTTGCTTTTTCTCACCACAGGACACTGATTGAATTATGGGGCATTTTGGTTAAAATTGACCGTATGTCTCTGCCCTCTGGGCAAAAGTTTTGGACATTGAGATAGATGGACTGTTCCAGTTTGCCTGGTTTTGCTCATTCAGACTTAACTTTTCAGGCAATAAATTTTCCCAAGTCTAAAATTCTAACTGCTGTTTCTCTTTGTACATTAGTTGGGTCTCTGGCCAAAAAGAATTGATTAATTTTTCAAGCATCTAAAGAAATGCAACTGAGCATCTCAAGGCATCCTGAGGACCAAGGCTTGCTCCTCAAAACCCTTTAATAGATCCTGATGAAAGCCACTGGCCACTGTCCTGGATCTGTTACTCAATGAAAGGACTTCAGATGCCTCTTTATCCAAATTTCTTCCTTCTGTGGGGGTGTGGAATGAGGAGAAGGGTGTGGAAAACTGCTGAGAAGAAAGATGGCTTAGTAATAAGGGGAGCACATCTCAGCTGGGGTTCTACAAATGAGTAAATTAGGCCTCTAGTGAGAAGCTCAAGAAAGCCTTTTTCATTTGTCTCAAGGATGGATCATTCTAGATGTGAGGGAGAGAAATAGAGCATCACATACATGGGAGGCATTGAAGTGCCATTCCCTCATGGGACCTTGTTGAGAAGGGCAGATGAAATCCAGGAAACAAGGGACTACTATATCTTGCTGTGCAGTGGGGAAAAGGAGGCAGTTATGGATATCAAACAGGGTATCTCATCTTGATTTTCAGACATCTTGCATTTGTGCTTTTTATCCAAGTCAAATCAGTGCCAAAACAAAGCAAACAAACAAAAAGGTCTGTATTTTGAATCTACTTAGTGGTGTTGTCTCCCTTCATTCCACACTTCAAATTGAGGCTCCCTGATGTCCCCACGTTTTAAAGTATGGAATTGTCAGGGTAAAGACTTTGAAAGATGCCTTTCCTCTAACCACACTTGCTCAGGCTAATATTTAACAATTCCTTCCCTACTCTGTCCCAACTTAAGCAGTTCTAAATCTGGTTTATGATAACCACCAGCAATATCACCTTGCTTATTGAGCCCCATCTTCCAGCACCTGTCAGAATCGCTGTTTGTCCAGACCACTTTAGCACTTGGCTCCTCTGTATGGAGTTGAATATTATAGGGCTTTGGTGGTCTCTAATTGTATGTGTGACATACATATATATAATTATGTTCATATATGATTTTATAATGTTATATTGACTTAGTGCAATCAGTAGACTTGCTCCATGTTACCCTTCCATAACCTGGATTTTGCAAAAACTTTTAGAGGCAGCTGGGATCTAGGCCCAGTGTTCTAGCTGTAGTCATAGAGGCATACAGTCCAGCTCTAACTGAAAAGAGTAGGCAGACCATCCTGTAGCCATCCCAAGTGGTTCTGTGTATGAAGGATATTTCAGGTTATCAGAAACTGCCATAAATCTAACGTCCACTTAAAGAACCATCTCACCTTTGTTCAGGCAGTCATGTGGCTGCCTATTTCTTAACTGCAAGTCTAGCCTGGTTCTCAAGGCCAGCATCCCCAGTAGTCTTCTGGCTACTTTTGAACTCTACCTCTAACCCAGCAAAATTGAACTAGTTACTATTTTCTGATAAAACCATTGCTTTCTTATTTCTGTCCTGCTGTTTATCTAGCTTGGTGGCCCACTTTGCTCCAGTCTCTGTCCTTACCATCTGTATCCTATCTCTGTCTCTGATACTCTCACCATCCACTTGGATCTTTTTCAGTTGCCTCACTTTACAAAGTTTTTCTTCATCTTTTCCACAGAATGGTTTCCCTCCCTTTTCTAAACTCTCTTGATACTTTCTTTGGGCTTCTATCTTGATTGTTATTGCTTGTGTATTTGGTTAGGGCTTTACTCTGTCCAGCTCTTAATGGCTTTGCCCCCTCTACCACAGAGCTTTGAAGCTTTTACAGGGAGAGTTTTGTCTTTGACTCCTTTATATCTCACTTAAATGTCTTAGTGAGAAAATATGTTAATATAAAAGATGATTGCAGAAACTATGCTGAGTTTCCTTTATATAAATCTCACACTTGATGATCCAGCTATTTGTTACAGACCTTCCTAGTGTGTGTCCTACTGGTCCTTAAAACATACCCACCCCCCAACACACACACCACACACACATATACACACGCACACATGAAGGAAAGATTTAAAGGTCAGTGAATTTGGGACACTTGCCCACCATACTTCTTCTTGAAGACCTACAACCTATAGAGCACATGACCAATAAGTAGCTTGTTGTAAAATTTATTGACTACACTGTCTACTAAACTTGTTTGTCTTCAGAACCCACGCCCCCCTGCATGTTATTCAGCCCCTGAACTACACTTCCATGGGAATTATTGGTGGAACAGGCAGAACTATACAATGGACAAAGGATTAGGACAAAGGACTCCACAGTAATAGAACCAGGTGTTGAATCCTAGCAAGACAATGCCATTGTTCTAAACAGATGGAAGCATGGGGTCCATATAAAATACCCATTTTCCTTCCTGACTGGCAGGACATATCTTTTGTGAGACCCTGGATGGCTTCTGGAATGGAGCTGATTCTTCACAAGAACATAATCAGAATGCCTTTGCGATTATAATTACTCTAAGGCAAGCACTTGGCTTTCTTAAAAGGCACATCTAATGGGTATTTTTCTCTACATGAAAAACAGAAAGAAATTTAGTAGCCAAATGGAAATGTTCCCACAGGCCCCTCAGCAGCCCCTTCCACAAGGACAAGCTCTCCATAAAGCAGCCATTTTGCTGCCTTCCCCCAGACTCCCATGCTACATGCCACCAAGCAGGTCACTTAGAAATGAGCCCAGGTTGTGCGGGGGTTTGGGTGACAATAGGATCCCAAAGAAATCCATATACAGCAGACTTGACTCCTTTTTTTTTTTTAACTGACTTTTCCATTTAAAGTGAATCCTTTGCCCAGCTAGGTAAGCAGGTAGTCTGTCATCATTTTCTAACTCTTCTGCCTACATGCTACCCATCTGCCATCCTCTTTGATGACTCCTCATCTGCACAGGCAGCCAGCCAGTCCTGAAGACTGCTAGGAACCTTGGAACTGTGGCAGCTGTCAGGAGTGAGGGAGGCTGTCTGCAGGCACATCCCCCTTATCTAACAGGGCTGGTGTGGGGGCTGGAATGTAGCTTCAACTGTCTGTCATCCAATGTTTCCTGTAAACATGAAGATGAGGTAGCCTTGTGAGATTTTTCACAATAATGAAACATTGTAAGATGCACGCAAGGCCAGAGAGGTTCATTTACAGTCTCAAACAAGGTCTCTTCTCACTTCTGTGTCTTTCTGGTTTCTTTGCAGTTCCTCAGCACTTTGTTTGCCCCCTTGAACTTTGTCATGGAGAAAGTAGAAAGCATCCTGCCATCCAGTCTGTGGCATCAGCTGACACGGATCTGAGCAGGGGAGCTGCTGTCCTTCACTCTCCTCGCCCAGCTGGCTGCCACCTTCTTTTATGTGCCAACCCATCATGGACTGCAAGAAAGCATGACTTTGAAAAAAGGGAAGCCATTCCGAGATTTTAAAGTGTTCTTGAACTGTCTGTTCCACATTAAAAGCTGTTTTTGTTGTACAAATTCATTGATGTTCAGTCTATTTTATTTTGCCTCAAAACAAGAAGAAAAAAGTAAAAAATAAAATTTTGTGTATTGCAGCAACCAGTTGTGTCTTCTTATGTCTTTTTTCCAGTTCTAAAAATGTGAGTGTTCTGAAGAACAGTGTAGAAATCTGTAGGTTTACGTTTTTTCCTAGGGACTAGGGTCTGCCAAATTGCTTCTCCACAGCCCTCGCCCTCAGAGCCTCTCAGGGTTGGAAAATGGAATCCCAGGGCTGGGGAGATAGCTTGTGGTAGAGCTCTTGCATAGCATGTACAAGGCCCTGAGTCTATACCCAGCACACAGAAAAGAAAGAAAGAAAGAAAGGAAAATGGAATTCAAAAGTAGCAATGCCAAACTGTCCTCATAAGTCAAATGCACACACAAGGAAAGCTTCCAAGATGAATGCTGGGGAGCACCAATGAAGCACCAAACATATACGCTATAGCAGGTTGTTCAATTCCTAACTTGAATAGTACTCACCTCTGCATTCCAGGAATCATTTTGTTTTTGCTGTTCGAAAACTCATTGTGAGAAGAAAATTGATGAGATGCAACAGACCTAATGGTCTGTTACAGAACCCGACTACTTGTCCACATTGCCATCTTTTAAATGTTTTCCTGTAAGAGTACTTATTTTTTATTATGTTTGCATTTCTGATGCTTTCATGTGAGCATTCTTTGAGTATTTTAGTTATCTGAACCAAAATGATCATTTTTCTTCACCACCTTTAAAAACCTTCCATGTGATTCGTACCATGCAGAACATCTGACTTTACTTAAGCAAAAGAAAAAAAATAAACTCGAATTCTCTATCTGAAGTGAAAAATACTTCTATTTAAAATTTCAATCCAATGCTGAAAAAAGGACTGTCCTTTACATAGTTTGTTTTCCCTTTGATTTAGAATCTTAAGTCTTCTCACCAGCGTCAAGGCAGCCAAAGGTGGGCAGGGAAGGACCACCAGTCTTCTTCCCTGCTGGACTGCTGAAGGCTTCCAGTCTCTACCGATAGCATCCAGGTGGGCAGGTAAAGTTTAGGGGACTAGTGATGCAAACTTTTCTTTGACCTACTTTGTTCAAAGATCTGATGAGAGCATACAACTGACTTCTTACTCTTACCGAACTTAATCTGCTAAGAGACTGACCCCATATACACACCAGTAGTGTGGATCTTTGTTGACCTCTTTACCTCTTCTTCCCCCTTACAACTCTAGACATAGTGGATGCTCAAATGATGGGGTGAATGAATTGGTGCAGTACATGACAGAAATACAAATAAACTTTTATCTATGTTGGAGCAGAGAGATTGGTTCTAGCTGGGAAGGACCAGGGAAGGCTTAGAATTATAATTTTGAGCTGGAAGAAAAAGAAATAGCCTAACACAGTTTTCTTTGATTTAATAGATCCAAAGCGATTTTGGCCTGCTAAAACTGGGACTCCAGATTGTACTAAATCTTGAAATGAATGGTTTAAGAGCTATAGGCCAGGGCAGTGGAAAATAGCCCAAGCAAGTTGTTGTTAGAAACCCTGAATTGTAATAAGTGCATCAAAAAATGTTAAATAAAGATTTATAATTTTTTTTGGTCTCTCTGTAGTCCAGACTAGCCTGAACTCAGGTCCTCCTGTCTCCACCTCCCAAGTGCTGGCATTACAAGCGTGTACCACACCCAGGTAAGATAAGGAGCTGCAAAGCCTTGCTCCCTTTCTTCCACCCTGTTCTCTATCCCTCTGCCCAACTCTTGCAGTACTGGCCTCTGGGGCCTGAACACCAGGGAGGTTGCTGTTGTCCTAGCTCTGTGTTGCTTTGCTTTCTCAAGGGACCAGCATACAGGCTTAAGCCTCTTACACAAATCTGTGGAGTGGCTGAACCAGAGCAAACCAAAATAACAGCAAAGTTTTTAAGATGATCATTTTTGCCTCAATCTCCCAAGTGCTGGGATTACACACATCTATCTCTACATGAGAGTGTGCCAAAGTCCATTGTGAAGGACTTTCCTCCATGAAGACTCTTCTTCCCAGAGATGGCCGAAACAATGGATACAAATAGGAATAAATGAATAAACAATAAAAAAAATTTTAAAAAGACTCTTCCTCACAGTAGGGCAGTAAGTGTTCCTTATTCTCAACTACTTTGTATTTGTTAGGATACAAAGCAAACACCCTAAATTAAATACCAGGAAATTGAATCTAGTGACATATCCAGAAAGAATACACTATGATCATATGAGATGGTCTGTAGGTTTGCTTTCAACTTCCTTTGTCAGTACTTATCATTATCAAAGTCATTAAGGCTTTTCAGAAGAATTGGGGGGTTTTCTATTTTTATATAACATTGATAACTAAAATCATCTGTTTTTACAGCATTGGATGTGGTTCAGATGGGGTCTTACAAACCAGGACTGGCCTCAAACCGAGATCCTCCTGGTCCTCACCTCCTAAGTAGCTAGGATTCCAGGCTTGGCCCCCATGCCTGGCTTGTCAATGGCAAGTTGTTGTGTTTGTTTTTTTTTTTTCTTAATCACCTTTAATACTATCTGCTATAGTATTCAGTCTATGCAAATTTTCCACATACTCAATTGTTCAAATATTTTTCTGGGAAATTACCATTTTATCTAGACTTTCAAATGTTTTGCCACAGAATGCCATTGATATATTACTTGTATATTCAAATCCATACTTGCAGGGGGGTTTTCTCTTTATATATTCCTAATTGCATATATATTTGCTCTTTTCCCCCTTTTTTCAGTTTCACAAGATTTCTCTATTTTAAGTCTAAGAAACAGGTTTTTAAATTACTAATGGGCATCAACCATTCTTGTCATGTATTTTATTTTTAGTTTTCATCTACCTATTTTCTCTTCCCAATTGCTCTTCTTTGTAAGAATTATAATTTTTCTAATTTCCTTAGATGAGTACTTGGCTCATTTTTATATTATTTTAAGAAGTATTTATAGCAGGGTGTGATGGTACATGTGTGTGATCCCAGCTCTCAGGCTAAAGCAGAAGGATCATGAGTTCAAGGACAGCCTGAGCTATATAGTAAGATCCTGTCTCAAAAAAGAAAAAGTGTATAGGCCTGTAAATTTTTCTGAGTGTAGCTGCTTTCTTATCCCAGACATTTTTCTATGAAGGACTCTCTTTTTACCTTTTTTTTCTAGAAATTTCTGTTTGTTTTTTCTTATTTAAGTGATTGCTTTGGGGCATTTCCTAATAATTGATTCTCTGTTATTGCCTTCAAGAAAGTAGTTGTTAATGCCATTCTGTCACATTGAATGAAACTACCTACCCCAAGTACTATGAATTTTAAACTCATGCCTATGAGTTATGTCTAAGTAAATTTTTCATCTCTCCATAAATTTTTTAAAAAATTCTGTCCTCTCTTCAATATGAAACCTATAGGCAATGTTAGAATGTTTAAGACAATTTGTGTTCCTTCCACTGGCTCTTCTCCTAATCCATGACCACGCACATCACATTGCAAAAAATCTGCAAGGTGAGTACACATAGGGAAGCAGTGCGTTCGGTATTAAAAATTGGGGACATGGGAACCCCTAAAACTTTTACACTCCATATTTTGCTTCTGCTCACAGAAGTGACAACTCAGGCTGGCTGTTCCAAGAATTGAAGTGTTTCAGGGGCAGAGGCCAGGGAGGTCTGGACGGGTGCTTGAAGGAATGAGTCCTGTGGTTCTGGATTTTGAGGCTCAGGGTGGCTGAGTTCTAGCAGGCAAAAAGTAGGTGAGTCTTCCTTCAAGCCTCTCCATGTTCAGGTGTCCAGAAACTCTCCAACCCCTGTCCTTTTGAATTTTGCTCAAGAGGTCATTGCATAGGCATGATTGAAGCATGGACAACTATACAGATATGTGATTGGAGAAAAAGGCACGATTTAACACTAATAGATGAGTGGGGAACCCAGCAAGGCCTATCCAGATGCTTCTCAGCCTTTCTGAGTAGCATTCTTTCTTCACAGGTATAGAGGAGACACCCTTCCCAAATGAGTGTCTTAGGGTCTACTATTAGAAAATTGGGCAAAAGAATTTCTTCGTAGCCAGCTTTAAGACAGAAAGGCAGGAAAAGGTTAGAATATCCTTTTAGTTTTTATGACCTGAATTTTCTGTGCCTGCTGTGGAGAGAAAACAAGTAGGTCAAAGAAGGGCCAAAGAAGGTCAGAGAGAAATTTTGCTTTCTGAGGCCTAACACTTCCTGAGATTATTGTCTTCTACCTTTATCACACTGAGGCTGTTCTAAAGCTGCTCAGGAAGCAAGAAAAGACCAAATCATTTATCAGAAGATACGCTTATTATTCTAGTCATTTAGCACATAGCAAGTGCTAGAGCCAGGATCCACAGATGAAAATAATATTCCATTCTGTATTTTATATATGTATAAATATGTTATATGTATGTATATATATATTATACGTGTACATGCATTATGTATGCATGTGTTATAGTTTTGACCTGAAATGTTCCCCAAAGGCCCATATGTTAAAGGTTTGATCCCCAGCATGGCACCACTGGGAAGTGAAGGAAATTGGAAGGGGTGGGACCTAGTAGGAGGTCTTCTAGTAATTGGGGACATTGGGGCTCAGCCCCTTCCTCTTTCTTTTGTTCCCAGTCATGAGGTAAACAGCTTTGCTCTACCACCTGCTACCTCTGTGAGCTAAAATAAACTTTTCTTTTGATTAGTTGATTATCTCAACTATTTCTCACAATAATGGAAGGCCATTAATACAGTATGATGACGAAATATCACAGGCACTCGTCTTCACACCCTTATGACATGGAAGTACACATTCTGTATTCTAGGCTATAGAGCTTAATAAATGTTGGCAGAAAGGTAGAACAGACTAGATGCTAAGAGTAGGGAAGATGATAGCACTAAACCAGAGGGAACATTGTTCTATAGAAGTCCAGGAAAAAACGTAATAAAATTATTTATTCTAATATGAAAAAAAATTATTCTAAGAACAGAAGCTTAATGAAGAGCATCTTAATGAGGAGTGTTTGGGCAGAAACTTTTCCAGTAAGGTTTCATCTGGGAGATAGTAATTCTTA